TCATCCATCCCAGAATCGGCTTGATGTCTGGATCTTCCTGCTGTGCATGTCGTAGGCTGTCCTTCCACCCGTTGCTGAGGTGGTCTGTCCTGAGCATCCTCACGGATACCACTTCCTTACTCTCTTGCCTACTACAATGGTTGCAATCTTCAGGACAAGGTCTTCTTGACGATGCATCTGCGTTGCCATGAGATTTCCCGCTGCGATGTCTGATAGTAAAGTCATATCCCGGCTGCTGCTGGGCGGTGATGTTAGCCGCACTTCCCTTCTGAGATCGTTCATCTTCCCTTTCTAGGGTTCGCTTAGGGCAGCTGGATCGAAGATGGCCCTTTTCCCCACAGCCATAGCACCTAGGGCTGAATCCTTTATTATGGTCGCGAACCGTAACTGCTGCAACCTCCCTAGCGCGAGGGGAACGACGATTCGGCCACCGCCAAGCGGTGCCGTTAGCTGCACTACCCTCTCGAGATCGATCAACTCTCCTTTCTACAGTTCGCTTAGGGCAGCTGGAGTGAAGATGGCCCCTTTCCCCACAGACATAGCACCTAGGGCTGTATCCTTTGTTGCAGTCGCGAACTGTAGCTGCTGCAACCTCCCTGACGCGATGGGAACGATGGTCGTGCCGCACGGCTTCCACCTCCAGTGCATGGGCCAAGGCGTCCTTAAGCGTCTCGTGGTGCCCGAGCCTCACAGCAGCTCTGACTTCCAGGTCACGGATGCCGTCGATGAATGTCTGCACCAGGCTTCAATGAACGCAGGTACAGACCGGTATGCTTTTCGAACCATCTTCTCCACCTCAAGGGACCACTGCTGCAGGTTTTCGTTGCTGCGCTGCACGCGATCTTTAAGCTGCGCGCGAAAGACGTGTTCCAGGTGAGCGTCGCCATATCTCGCCTCCAATGCCTCAAGGAGCTGCTCGTAGGTCACTTTCTTACCGAGAGCTTCCAACACGGTTAGGGCTTGGTCGCACAGGCCTAAGGTGAGTGCAGTCATGGCCTGGCTTTTATTCCAGCCGTTCGCCTTCATAACAGCCTCGAACTGGATTTTGTAGGCTGACCAGGAAGAAGTCCCGGCGAACGGTGGCACTTTGAACCCACGTAGCGAAGGTGCAGTAGCTACTACGGGAGCTGTAGTTCCATCCCCAAGTTTGAGTTCATCCAGTGTTTTCTTAACTTGGTTGATTTGGGTCTCAGCTTCCGACAGGCGGTTATCATGTTGAGCAGCCTTATCCTTCACCTCCCTTATCTTTTTCCCGAAGGTAGCGTGAAGGTCCTTCATGAGAAGCATCTGTTCTTCCTGGCCGCCCCGTAGCTGCTCTTCCAACCGACGGACCTGTTCCTCCTGTCGGCGAGCCTGTTCCTCCTGTCGGCGAGCCTGTTCCTGTAGCATCGCCATCAGAGCACCTAAGTCAGGTGCTGCAGATGTAGGAGCTACTGACGGGCCCGCAGCCTCCGTGGCTGGCATTTGGCCCTCCGACGTCTGCGGCGTTGCATCACCAAATCTCCTCTGGTCCGTCTCCTGCTGGCGTTGACTCCGGGTACGGACACCCTCCATCTCGTCCTTAGGTAAAATCGGCATGATTTTATCCCACTTCTGACACCAATTGTTACGAGCTTGAGGTTCGTGACAATAAAAACTGCCGATTGAGTTACCAAAATTAACACTATATATATAATTTACTTTACACAAATCAAAACTTACAACACTAATAATTAAACACACTAATTCACTTTATTCCGCTCCGAAGCTTCGCTTTTCTCGCCAAATCAACACTTCCCCGATCGCATCTTGCAGCGCCTATTTATATAAATTAGCAAAGAAGCATCCGGGATATTCAAGTAAATGCGCGCAAAGGGACGAGTGTGCGAGTGTAGATTTTCTAGAAACTTAGTTCTTCGGATAGCGCTGTCGGTTGAGAGATTTGTGATGTCATTTTCTCAATGCTCCCCTCGCTCTCGTTCCTGACACTAGATGGCGCTAGTGTATCGTCGACTTGAGCGCGTAACAATATTAACATACTTACATTTCGTTGCACTAAAAGATATCCAAAAGCATTAGTGGATGAAACTGTAACAGGACATGATGGATACCCATTATATCGTCGCCGTTCAAGAGACATTGGTGGTTTTACTGTTGAAAAGCGAGTGTCTGGACAACAGGTTACTTTAGATACTCGTAATAGGTGAGTCGTTCCGTATTCGCCTGTGTTGTCTAGAGCATTTCAAGCTCACATAAATGTTGAAATGTAATAGTGTAATAGTAGTGTAATGTGTAAGTAGTAGTAAGTAATAGTGTAGAGTCAATAAAATATATTTGTAAGTATATTAACAAGGGCAGTGACCAAGCTACATTTGCGTTGAGAAATGAACATGAAGTGACTAGATTTCAGTCAGGCAGATATATCAGCTCTTCAGAAGCTGTGTGGCGGATCTTAAGTTTCAACATTCACGAAAGATATCCACCTGTGACTCATCTGGATGTTCATCTTGAAGGCGGTCAACGTATATATTTCAACGCCGAAAATGTTACCGAACGATTAGAGAACAAACAACTTTATTAGCATTCTTTTGAGTTTCCCAAACTAACGATTTTGCAAAATCTCTTTTGTATGAGGAAGTTCCATCGTATTATACCTACGATAAGCAACGAGGTGTCTTTAATCGTAGACGCCGTGGCAGGCCTGTAGATGGCAGATGGCAGAACAACGTTCAGTCTATGATCGCGTGTGCGAGAGTGTTCAGAATAATTTGGGAACAATATGGTTTTTAGATGCACCTGGAGGAACTGGGAAAATCTTTTTGACTAAATTAATATTAGCTTATGTTCGAAATTAGCGTAAAATTGCTCTTGCCGTGGCTTCATCAGGTATAGCTGCAACATTGCTACCAGGAGGTAAAACTGCTCACACTATGTTTAAAATACCAATTAATTTAGATCGCACGGAAAGTCCAACCTGTAGTATTTGAAGAAATAGCGACAAAGCTAAGGTATTACGTGAGTGTAATTTAATCATATGGGATGAATGTAAGATGGCCCACCGAAAAGGAGTAGAAGCGGTAGACAGAACTTTAAGGGATATAAGACGAAATGATCGACCAATGGGCGGTATCACGATTTTATTTTGTGGTGATTTCCGACAAACCTTACCGGTAATACAACGGGGAACCCGAGCTGATGAGGTTAGGGCTTGCCTAAAAAGCTCTTATTTGTGGCGTGATATACAATCGGTACATTTGACTATAAACATGCGAGTGAGAACTGGAGATAACCCGGATGATCGTCAATTTTCTGATAAATTATTAAAGATTGGTGAAGGTCTCAGATCATATAAACAACAGGAGATATGGCAAGGAGGCGTGGCACTTGCGAACGCATCCATGATGCCAGTTTCGGTAATTAGTCGAATGTCAACTTGTGACGTCTTCACTGCTCGTGATTTTTGACAAAATGCCGCTTTGTCAATGATTGTTTGCAAAAATAACAGCTGTATTGTGAATTACATGAAAGATGGCATCTCATTTCACACGTAAGTACTAAAATATTAATGTTTTTCTTATTCAATTTATTAAAACATTACTTCGTGGTACTAGAAACACGATGAAAAACCAAATCAAATGTTTTCATTAAGGAACAAAAACCATTGCTTGCTTAGTACAAATCGACCTGTGAATCAGCTGGTCTAATAGCGCAATGGATAAGTGTTTTACTGATACTCTCACTCACACGATATTTTCGTGAAGCAGCCGCTGCCGGCTTTTGTGAGTTAGAGATGTGAATGCGTGTGTGTGCGCTACTGCGTATCTATCAATTTAATGAACTGCATGTGTAGTAGTTGGCGAGTGGCGGGGGCAAACTGGAGACACCGGATTCCGATACATTTTAACTACCGGGCATATCTCCTGTTGTTTATATGATCTGAGGTGAAGGTACCTATCCACAACTACACCAAGGAAAACTTATTCTGACGCCTGAGTTATGTTGTGTAGTGTAATCCCAACCACATCTTATATTGTCGGTTTACGGTGACGTAACAATTATATTAAATAGGGAAAATTCTTGGCTATGCGAAAGATCCATTTTAACTCCTGGCAATGACCAGGCATCTGAGATTAATAACAGAATACTGTCGAATATACAGGGGGAAAGCAAAGTTTATAGTTCAATAAATAGAATGGTCGATGAACAAGAAGCCACTAACGTGAAGGCACCAATTATGGACAGTTTAAGAATTTGGTCTTACATTTTTAATCACTATTCATCTATTTGCAAAGATACAATGTTATGACTATTATCAAATTGTAGACCAATAAACATGCTTTATTACACGTACATATATAATTTATATAGTGTTATTGTTTCTGATGAAATAAAGAAAAACTCAAAAAGGCACAAAAACTCCATTTATGGACGGCACTTCTCCAGTGATGGATACTCAATGTTGGACATGTATCCCATGATGGACACCCAATGTTGGAAGGTTATTAAATTCACCAGTTTAAAATGAAATTCTTTGAAAAATTTTAAAGTTTATTAACAAATATAAGAAGGAAACCTCAACTTTATAAAAAACAGTTTTGCAAATTAAAAAGTACTATTATTTATTTATCACAAATCAAAATAACAAATCAAGTTAAAGCAACTACAGCAGAAACATTTTACTTATTAGGGTCAAAAAAAGCTTGAGGTATTCTTGTAAATAGAAGTCTCAAAAGAGCAGTTAACAACTTAGGTGTCTACTCTTACATACTACACAGTCTTTATTCTTTTTCTTTATAATAACCACCTTATTTAATAATCACAACTTGAGAGATCAAATTTAACCCTGTTTTACCCATTAATTAGAAAAACGGGTTAAAAAATATACACTAAATATAAATAGAAAAATCTTATTCTAATAAGTCTCAAAATCCAGGACATTTATATGTTAGGCAAAATTCCCATCAAACAATAGACTAAAAAAATAAATGAAATAAAAATCTTTAAATCCACAGTCTTAAAATCTAGGTCATATAAATGTCAGGCAAAAACTTCTCCATTTCTGGTACTTTGTAAAAGCCTCTGTTATTATGTTTGATAGGAGGATTTATAACTTCGACTATATCAGTAGTTTTATACCAAATTTTATCTGGCCTTTCTGGCCACCTAAAAGTGTTCCCATTAGAAAGTACCATTGTACTTATTTCAAAGAGACCTCGTTCCTTATTTTCAATCTTTCCGGGGAAATATTCACCCTCATACATAATGATGACAAAAGAACCCTTGTTGATATCCTTTTTAGCATTTTTAACTTTATTAGAATGTGCTATTTGAGTCAAAGGCAACTCTGATTCAGAATTACTATCTTCCGTAATAGATCGTTTTCTCTTCCTTTGTACTGAAATCTTCTTTTTATCCATTGCTTTACGTTCATTTTGTTTTTCCAGTATTTCTCCTTGATAGGTATTTGATTCAGTCTCTTCGTTCCATTCGCTTTCGCCACTTTCAATATATTCTATTTCAGCTTCTGTATCTTCAGATGATGATATTTCAGGCATCTTTGGTTTTTTAGATTTTGTTTTATCCTTCTTTTCCTTGGCAAGTTTTTCTTTGATATTTTTTTTCTCGATTCTCTGCTTAGCTTTCAATTCCTTTTCTTCTAAAATTCTTTTTTTTTCGGCGGCTTTTTTTTCATGGTATTCTTGCCATGCTTTGCTCGTTACAGCTGATGGTAATTTTTCTTTTTTCTTCTTAGTTTTCTTAGTACTTTCATTGTCAGGCCAGAAAAGACATTTTTTGAATGGCGATGGAACTGTGACACCTAGCGCATTACTTATTGTGTTTTTTGCAGGAGTTTTTGCAGCCAAAGAAAGGGATCCATCAACCCTGGCTAACGTATCTGACGTTGTAATTTCGATTGAAGAAGTCACTGTACTACCTATCGTTACCCTTGTGTCTTCGATAGGTATTTTTTCAGTCTCTTGAGACGGCATTTCTGACACTGATGGCACTGTGCTACCCAGAATATCGCTTGTTGTATCATTATGGGATTTCGCATCAGATATGGCTTCATCAACTTTTGATGGCGTATTTGGCGTTGGTATGAATGCCACTGTTTCAGAGACACCATCTAGTGCACTGGTTGACGGTGCTATGAGATCAAGTGCACTGCTTACTTTGCCGTTGTCATCGAAGTCTGTTGGCATAACATTTTCTTGCATAATACACGTGTTATTATATAATACGTTATCTGAAGTCGGTGAAGATTCCCTATTTAATGCAGCAGGTGCGGAACTAGATTCTAGCGAAATTGACATTTGCTTGTTGTGTGCCCACACTATATAGAGATTCAAATCTTCATCTAATGCCATGTTTTCGAGAACATTTCTTCCTTCATAATAAAGACTGTTAAATAGGTCTAACTTTTCTTGACCAAAATGTTTTGTAATTTCGGTTTCTAAAAATTGTAAAAAATGGCTTCTTTCTTCATTTTGGTTTTCATTTGCTAGATCAGAAACAGTATTCCGCTTTGTGAGTTTTGACATATCAATATATTGTGGACCATATGGATGCAGACCACCGCCCCTAAATCCATTTTTAATGCAGTCCGTCGTTATATTCTTTAACGCTTTTTGAAAGACGGGAGCAAAGTTTTCCTTTTTCAACTTGTTTCCCGAATTTTCCATTTTCCACTGGATAACTGCTTTACGATAATATACTTTCAGCGGTCTGAAAAGAGATATGTCCATAGGCTGCAGAATGTGGGTCGAGTTAGGGTACAAGGCTATAATTTCTATGTCATTTTCAGAGCAGAACTTGGACAGATGAAGTGTAAGATGCGATCTATGACCATCCACAAAAAACAAAATTGGTTTCTGGATGCCTTTTACAATCAGCCAAGGATTAAAAATTGTAGTCACAAACTCGTAGAAGGTCTCACCAGTCATCCAACCGGTCTCCGACTTTCCTATGCCCCATTCTCCTGGCACACTGCTAGAAATTCTGTCCGGGACTCGATCATAGGCGAAAACAATCATGGGTGGTGCTAGTGTACCCGCAGCATTTGCAGTCAACAAGACGGTTAAATTTTCTTTTTCATCGCCACTTGCCGCATAAACATGCTTTTCCCCTCGTCTAACAAGCACTCGTCCAGGTTTTGGCGCAAGAAAAAAGGCGCTCTCATCTGCATTAAAAACTCGGCTTGGCTCTTTCAGAGCTTCAAGCAATCCCTTTTCGGCCAAATATTCATCCACTTCTTTGAACCAGTTGTTTATTTGCTCTTCTGTCACTTCATTGCGTGCTGCACTGAGGTTTTCGGCCGTTCTTTCTGCTAATATCGGATGTCTTTTAATAAAAGAAGAAAACCATTTCTTCCCTGGCCTGTTTGCTGTAAAAGGAGTAGATTTACGTTGCACCGTAACTATTCGCTGGACGCTATCTAAAAGTTGTTCTCTAGTGATAGGAAATCGTCTTTCGGCACTTGCTATTGCCCATTTCACAAGCAAATCTTCTTCTACTGTTGTCAAGACTGTACTAGGCCCCATAGTGCATACCATGGGGCTCTTACCGGAGATTTTATTGTGGAGAGTAATTCTCGGCACTCCAAATCGCTTAGCTGCTGCAGATACTGATTGTCCTTCCTTTCGCACTGCCTCAATGGCGTGAGCCATTTGTTCAGGCTTATAATCTTTTTTTAGGCGCCATCTAACCAAACAAGAAATCAAATTAGATAGTTCTTACAATCTACGAGCGCGTGGTCCTAGGTCGTGTGAAGATGTATCTGTAGGTATACATATAACTAAAAATAAAGGTAACACGCGCTTATGAATTGCAAAAAACCATACAATTATAACATGGTGTCCATTATTGGTAAACGTGCTTTGATTATTATTTTTTAAAGACATATGATATCAGGCGATGTTCAAGAGGTAATACTATTTATAATTTACTCTTCAGTACAATTAAATAACCATGGACACGTGTCCATAAATGTGTTTTATGTCCATTAATGGATCCAGTAATGGACACCCCCCTAAAATACTTTTAAATTATCGAGTGACATAACCTCTTTCTCGAATATATGCCTAATACTATAAGATAAACATAAAATCAAAGCGTGTCCATATATCTATCTAAAAAAAGGACATTGTGAACAAAAACAATGACTAACCTGCTTAACGATTCCTTTAAGAAATCCGGATAAAATTTGAAAAACTCCAGAGCACAATTTCTTCAACTCGCCATTTTGAAACAAAATGGCCGAAATTAATTTTCTCTGTCAATATGACAGAGGGATGTTGGCTGTCTATGTCTAAAGTGCTGCCATTTCTAGAAAACCATTTCTACCCTTATTATAAGGTTGATAAGTTTTTTTCGTCCATTATTGGTGCCATGTCCATTACCGGCGCCACCACGTTAATTACCCGATAGAATTTTTAAATTCTTTAATTATGCCCGAACTTTCTTCTCATGAAATTTGTTTAAAATTGGCATTCCGATTATTCTGCTCCGAAATTTAAGACCACCACAACTTTGCAATGGAACTCGGCTAAAAGTAACCCAGTTGCAACAAAATATAATCGAGGCTCAAATTTTAACAGCTTGCGGTGCAGGATAAACCGTCTTTATTCCCAGAATTCCCATATTACCAAATAATTTAAAATTTAAAAGAACGCAATTCCCAGTATCAGTGTGTTATGCAATGACAATTAATAAGGCTCAAGGGCAGACTTTTCGTGTTGCTGGAGTAGATCTCGGTGTCAGTTGTTTCTCGCATGGTCAGTTGTACGTCGTTCTTTCCCGAGTTAGCAGTTCCAGAAATCTTTATGTTCACGTGCCGGACGGGTCAACTTTCAACATAGTTTACTCGGGAGCTTCGCGCTGAAGTATTTTTGTTCTATAACGTGATCTAAACAATATTACCAATATATTAACTTAGTAACACACAAGGAGTTACACTCCATCCAAAGCGCAGCGACACTATAACATATATAGGAATGACGTCTTAGCAAAAGTTGTTTAGTCTGATTTTTACTTTATTAACTTACAAAAATGAAAGATCTAAAACGTCTCGCGATTCATGTTGTTTTCCCGTCCCCGGGCTCTTAGAATTCAACATCAGACGTTTCAGATCTTCGATTTTGACGACTCCGTTGTCGCTGGCATAAACAACAGGATCCGCGTACGAAGTGGCGGGCAGAAGCTAGTTATTCTAATAAAATTAGCTGTACCAGAGCTCCCTTGAATTTTTTTTAATTTCAAATTGTATTCACAAAAATTCAGGGCGTCTGCAACAGAAGTGCTTAATAACTGGGTGGCTAATTTAACTTCCATTTTTTGTTCAGAAAATTCTATGTGACTTTTACTTATTTTTGTTCCCAAGTATAAATTTTCTTTTTCCTGCAAATTGTGAGGATTTTCTACATACCTAAAGTCTATGATTTTTTTTCTGATGATTGATGTTTATTTCTCAAGAAAACAATCAAAACATGGTGGTGTGTGTATTCTTGTAAAACAAATTTCAATTATCGTATCTTAGATTTTTACAACCTTTTTCAAAGGAAATTGAGTTTGAATATTGCGGTATAGAATTAACTGAACAAAAATGTATTATTATTTGTATTTATAGAACACCAAACTCGTAAATAACTTGATGCTTTACTACATAAGCTACGTGAAAAAATAAACAAAAAAATTATAATTGCTGGCGATTTTAACGTAAATATGTTAATGTTGAATAACAAATCTAATATATTAAGAAGTATATTAAAAAGCTATGGATTTCAGATGCATATAAGTAACAGAAAAAACGAGATAACGTACATGTGTAGACCAAATGGCAAGTAATATACAAGGAGCTACCGGAAAAGTGCATGAATTAGGTCTATCAGATCACACGGGGCAAACATTAAGTTTTTTGTTAAAAGATAAAACAAAGTCTCCTGGGCATTATTATATATTTAGAAATAATATGCGGAAAGTTATATTAGCAGTTTCTGCAATCACTTAAATTCATTATCATTCTTGGACGTATATGAAGAGGATAACGTAGAAAAAACATTTACGAAATTTTATGACACGTTTGTACTAAAGCCCCATAAAAAGTCAAAAAAATTTCAAAATAAAATCCTTACAACCCGAAATTTCCTTAAACCAACCACTCAAAAATAAAAACTACAAACAAAAATAAATATACACTTTATAGAAATATCCTAAAAAAATATTTTACTGGCACAAAAGCAGATGGATCACAAATACGTACTCAACCCAAAAAAATAATACTAAAGCCACTTTTACCCTAATAAAACAAAATAGACACATCCAAATCTTATTGATAGACTCACAGTCAATAATCAAAATATACTAAATCCCATTGAACTAGCTACAACATTTATCAGCATTCCATCTATTCCATTAAAGACATAATAGTGCGGAAAAATTAAGTGTAACTAGTGTAAGAAATCAATCTAGTATTTATTTAAGACCATGTGATATAACGGAAATTAAGAACCATATTTCTTCACAAACACAAAGTGATGAAATACAAACAAAAGTTTTAAAGAAGTATCCAGGAAAAATCACAGACGTATTATGTTTTGTCATAAATAAGTCATTTGAAGCGGGAATTTCCTAAAGAATTGATACTATCCGTTGTTATACCATTGCATAAAAAAGGTGACAGAAATAATATTAATAACTATAGACCAATTACATTAATATCAATATTATCAAAATTGTATGAGAAAGTTATGCAAAAAAGACTTTTAGATTTTTTAAATAAGTTTAACGTATTAAAACCAGAGCAATATGGTTTTAAAAAAGGTAAATCTACGACACTGGCAACTTTTTCCCGTACAAAAATCGTAACCGATTATATAAACAGAAAAATACCCATTTCTGCAGTGTACTTTGTTATGAGCAAAGCATTCTTTTTTTTTTTGTTTTCACATACAATTAGAAGTAAGTATAACAATTAATAAGGTGTAAACATAAACTCTTTTGAGTTTTACCGTACACCCTAAAGCCGTCGTTATACATTAATAAAGATTAAGACTATTTATAACATATTTGCTACAAACTTCATACATCCATACTTAAATAACAATCACAAGACAGCTACACATTTTGTAAACACAATGAGGGTATATCACAAGATAAGGTTATGTAAAAACCTTTTGTGGGCGTTCCTATGCAGCACTATCTTCATTTTTTGCTACTTTTTATTCTACAGGTGTTTTTTTTAGCAAAACGTTTATAACAGGTATGGTATAAAGTGTGGTTTGTGATTATTATTATATAGTGTTGTTAGTTTATATTTATTATGTATATGTATTTGTTTTGTATGTGGATAAATTTGTTATCATATTCTATATATTAATATTTAGTGTATATATTATGTATATGCTTACTTGAATTTATTAATTGCTATTATGTAGATAGATATAATTATTCTAATGTATAAGTTAATGTATATTATTGTGTAAGTAATGTTTAACAATTATAATGTATGTTATGTGTATTTTTTGTTTATTATTTGTGGAAAATATTGTTTCAAGATGTTTTTTATATTTTTAGATGTTATTTTTTCTTTAATAGCATTAGGTATAGGGTTGATTAGGTAAGGTATTATGTAATTTAATCGTCTTTTACCATACAGGTTATTATAAGAAGGTAGTTGTAGTTTGATGTTATCTTGCCTACGGATTGAATAATTTTTGTGTGGTTTTTGTAGATTTTCAGTAAAATAATATTGTGATAAAAGAGTTAGTTCTACTTTTTCATGAATTGGTAATATTTTACAAAATGCAAAGAGCTTACGGTAATCTTTAAAGATGTTTTTTATTTTTATAGGAACTATTCTTTTTAGTATACGTATCTGGAGTGAAAAAATATTGTCTAGGTTTGTTTTAGAGGTTCTTCCATAACTGGACAACCCATAGGATATTATAGACTCAGCCAGGGACTTATAGAGTAGTAGAAGTGTTTTATAAGGAATTTTAGGTTTAATAATTGAGAATTTGGCTAATACCTTTATATTATATTCGATAGTGTTAGTCATGATACTCTCTTAAAAAAAATTGAAGCTTAACTCACTGACCACTATATATACAAGTACGCTGGACTGGCTATACCATACAAAATGCCTGTGCCAATTTGAAGCACTCCCAACGGTCGTCTTGGAAACTAAAATTGACATAATATGCCAAATTCTGTTGTCATATTTAAATAATTGTCTTATTTAAAAAATCTGTATTTTGAACTTCTAAACTAAAAACGAAAGTATTTTATGTTGTTTGATTGTCTATAATATTAGTTACTTAATAAGAATTATTTATAATAATAATGAGAGTGTGCGTAATCTGTAAAAGTCGTTACCAAAAGGGAAGTGGTATAACCTTTCACAAGTAAGTGAATTTGCAGCTAATATTAAACAAATTAAAACTATTTGATAATATAAATACTTCAAAAATTTGTAACCAATCTTAATATCACACCAATATGATACACCGCTGTAGTAGAGGTGGAGTCGTCAGGGAAGAGGAGCGTTGGTATGACGATTGGCGATGCGATGCCACTCTACTATCCTTCGCTACTTTGGTGAGTGAAGTAGAACACCATGGGGGTTTAATATTTAGTAAATGCGAGTCTAGAGATTTATTTCTCTCTCAAGTCTCAAGATTTAATTTGTGCTTTAACTTCGTAGTGGCCCTACTTTAGTTTATTT